GCACTTCAGAACATAATTCAAACAGATTTGGGAAGCTACAGTGCAGGAATACAACTTTGGTTTTTTGACCACTTTTGGAGTTTGAGTCAAGTGACATTGCCCTGAGTACTAATGAAAATTGCCAATAATATTGCCCAAGTTGGAGCTAATGAAAATCGCAATGATGTTGCCCAAGTAGCCAATGAAATTTCCCATGATATTGCCAAAGGAGCCAATGAAAATCGCAATGATATTGCCCAAGTAGCTAATGAAAATCGCAATGATGTCGCCCAAGTAGCTAATGAAATTTCCAATGATATTGCCCAAGGAGCTAATGAAAATCACAATGATATTGCCCAAGTAACTAATGAAATTTCCAATGATGTTGCCCAAGGAGCTAATGAAAATCACAATGATATTGCCCAAGTAGCTAATGAAAATCGCAATGATATCGCCCAAGTAGCTAATGAAATTCCAATGATATTGCCCAAGTAACTAATGAAATTTCCAATGATATTGCCCAAGGAGCTAATGAAAATCGCAATGATATTGCCCAAGTAGCTAATGAAAATCACAATGATATTGCCCAAGTAATTAAGAAATTTTCGAATGATTTGCCCAGGGCTAATGAAATTGCGGTTTTTTGACACCTGTTGGAGTTTGAAATTTGTGACGATACTGTCCTGATTAATTAAAAATTGCAATGATATTGCCCAAGTAGCTAATGAAAATCGCAATGATGTTGCCCAAGTAGCCAATGAAATTTCCAATGATATTGCCAAAGGAGCTAATGAAAATCGCAATGATATTGCCCAAGTAGCTAATGAAAATCACAATGATGTCGCCCAAGTAGCTAATGAAATTGCCAATGATATTGCCCAAGTAGCTAATGAAAATCACAATGATATTGCCCAAGTAACTAATGAAAATTTCCAATGATATTGCCCAAGTAGCTAATGAAAATCACAATGATGTTGCCCAAGTAGCTAATGAAATTGCCAATGATATTGCCCAAGTAGCTAATGAAAATCACAATGATATTGCCCAAGTAACTAATAAATTTCCAATGATATTGCCCAAGGAGCTAATGAAAATCGCAATGATATTGCCCAAGTAGCTAATGAAAATCGCAATGATGTCGCCCAAGTAACTAATGAAATTGCCAATGATATTGCCCAAGTAGCTAATGAACATTTCACAATGATATTGCCCAAGTAGCTAATGAAAATCGCAATGATATTGCCCAAGTAGCTAATGAAAATCACAATGATATTGCCCAAGTAACTAATAAATTTGCCAATGATATTGCCCAAGGAGCTAATGAAAATCACAATGATATTGCCCAAGTAGCTAATGAAAATCACAATGATGTCACCCAAGTAGCTAATGAAATTGCCAATGATATTGCACAACCAGCTAATGAAATTTCCAATGATACTGGCCACATAATTTATGAAAATCGCAATGATATTGCCCAAGTAGCATATGAAATTTCCAATGATATTGCCAAAGTAACCATTGAAAATCGCAAAATGATATCACCCATGTAGCTAATGAAATATCCAATGATACTTGCCAGACAACTAATGAAAATCGCAATGATATGGCTTTGAAAAGATATGAAATTGGTAATGATAACCACAGGCTACCTTATGAGGGAGGCCCAAAACCTTGCCTACACTTAATGAAAAAGCACAGCCTTTATGATAATGAAAAAACATGGTAACAGTAATGATTCCCTATCATAAAGAGTGTGGATGGATACACAGGGACCTATAGGCAGTTACCTGTTTTATATGATAACTAGTGGTAGCCACTAGTGTCGATCCCTGGAATAACGGACCTAAAAACGCCAAGTTGTAAAGCGCAGGACGTGCTCCACGCTTACGGGAAGGGTGCAAAGAGGTTGTAGCTGAAGTCAAGCAAATGGCATAACATGCTCGTTTGCTTTTCTACACTATTCACGATTACCATAAAGGCGTGTGTCGCATAGACATGCCTTTTGAGCCCCTGAGTCCTGCCCGACAGTGGACTGTTGTTGCAAGGGATACGGCGAGAGCAGCCCAGTGCAATTCTTACCTCACAGCAAAAGAGGCCGTTATAAGAAAGGTGGAGTGAGCTTCGGGGTAAGGCGAGGATCATACCGAGATGTGGGATTCGTTCGAAAGGCAAGCATGTTTCCAGAAGGTGCAGCCAAATATTCTGTCTGAACGCATTAGACAGGGCCTCTGATCTATGAAGGCACGTTTGGGCGACCAAGGGCTCATTGTCGTAGAAGTAGACATCTTCAAAACCTCAACAGGTTAATTTGCAAGTCTGAAGCTCGTGCAAATTGAATACCGGCTTGCTGAGAGCTATAGTACTTAGTACGTCTGCGAGTACCAAGAAAGGCAAAGATGCGAGTAAGTCGGAAAACTAAAGATTTTCCAGGTTGAGCTCACATGAGTCCGAATCTTGGCAACTCGGGTGGTCAGTTTACAGCCTTCTGTCCTGAATGATTGGCGAAAGGAAGAGAAATGCGGGAGCACAGCCACATCGCGCTTTATCAGCATCACGCGTCACGTGTCACGGTCATGCACCTCATACAGCCATGCCTCAATCTCCTTACCTTTCTCTATACAGGGCAATCCACCTCTGTTGCCAGTTTTGCAATGGGTTTCTTACTACATAATTTTTGAACTTACCATGCTCGATGATGAGAAGACACGTGCCTGCACCACTACGTTGCCACTACGCCCCCGAACGAGTTTCTTGCCGTCTCCGTGAATCCTCCAGGCCTCCAGTATGACGGTATACAACCACCCGATGTCCCTTCAACTATTCCGATGCGACCCCTTACTACTGTCTGCTTCTGGTGGCATACACGTCTTATGGTCTCAAACGTGAAGGTATGTTGTACCCATAACTATCCTTCCGGGTCTTCCTTCGACCTGGTATACAGTCGTCTAGACTCTCCCTGAGGATGTCGAAGAACAAAGCTTGTCTGGACAGAGCCCGTGAGCTTGAACCCGTTTAATCTAGCGCGGACCAATGACGATGTTACAAGCAGGACGTCCTTCCTTTCTTGTTTGGACGACTTCAAACTACAGTTGTACGGCATACCCGTCTGGCCTTTGGCCGAAAATATGCGCCTCTCCATCAAAATTTCTCAGCACGAATGCGACCTGGCAGGAAGAGTGAGTCTTTTCGGGGCCTAGTAACAACCAGCGCTCGTTTCGCAAGTTGTACCACTGGCACGTGCACTTTGGACCCGCCAGTTCCAGCGGGGTACAAAGAACTTCAACTCCTCCGTAGCCTCCGTCCTCTTTATCATCAAACGCACCCTAATCAGAGCTGCCCGGGATTGCCCATGACGTGCGAGCCATCCACATCCAGCATTCCCACTCTGTCAGTTACCACACGCTTCTGTTTTTATTGATGGTCTGATCGCAAGTTTGACACGCCTCACTCTCCAGCCTGCCTTGACCTTCCACTTGATTGCAATTCTCTTCTTGATGTTGACGCCTATTCCATTCACTTCTCCTAGTCTCGAAACATGTATCTGTTCTCTCGTCATCTTTGCCTTGACCATCATGTTGTTTCCCCGAAATGGGTGGCAGAAAGAGAGCGCGGGCACTATGTCCGCCTTTCTTTGTTCATCTCTCCGGTCTCTGATCTGGAGTTTTTGTGCGTCCGTCGTGTGCAGGGGCGATTTTCAGAAACACTACAGCTAAGTACGCCCCTTTGCTTCACAGTTTTGTCACCGCTTGGGACCGTACTTATTCCATCTGGAGCCGAAGTTTGGATTTTGTTTTTGTTTTTCTGGAAGCCCACTGACATAAAAAGTACAGGCCGGTACTGGTGCCAGATCATTTGACATTTTATCGCGTCTTGGCGAGGGTAAGTCTATGGGGAATCCCATGAAGCTTTTCTGAACGAGTTCCATTCCACAACTGACAGAGCAGATATGCCTGAATGGAAGATTGAAATGATAAATCAGCCGGAGCTGTGGAACTGGAGAGGATTTAGCCAAGAATAAATGGTGCAATGACAGCGAGAATGGATCACTTGACTTGGAGGTCGTACATATGATGTTTGAATGAGTCTGACGGTCCCGAACGTCGAATGCTATTGCCTACATACCTTTTACCAATTATGAAGGATTGTGAATTTATCTTCAGCCTCGATGTAAACAACTAAGACGATGCCAATTTTTTTTTGCTATACGCTCAACGTGTCGTGTAAATGGAAACACATCAAGAAGCTTAAGCACGTTTGTTGCGCTGAGAGCAACGCAATTGATCAGCGACCAATTGCGAAGTTCTAAAAAATAGGTGTCCTGCGTAACGGCGTTCTCCACCTGCCGATCATCCTCATGCAGCCTATTTTTCCCGTGGAATGCATATACTGTACTAATCCAATCAATTCGTTGCACCCTGTGACCTGTGACCGACGCGACGAAATTTTGGTTTCGTCGCGTCACCGGGGAAGGTGTGACTGCCTGAAAATTTCGTCGAAATGTTGGAGTAGCCCTCTGTACATAGATAAATTTAAATAGTTCAGATAACTTCGCTAGAGAGACTTAGAGGGGGAAAAATCGATTTCTAATGAAAAAGGACCCCCAATTTTGCTTATTTTCCGACTGACCTGGTGGTTTCGTCGCTGGCCCCTGTGACCTGTGACCCCTTAGAATTTCGTCGATTTCGGACCCCCTGTGACGCGTGACCGACGAATTGATTGGATTAGTACAGTATAAAGGGGCATGTTTTCTCAACCTTTTCTTCATTCTGATCACCCACTGCCTTTCGAACACAATGACTATTCTTCCTAACGGCGTCTACCGTATCACCCAGTGGGGTTCTCATGGCCAGACTCCTCAGGTTTTAACCCTCCTCGATGGACAGGTTACCGCCCTTCCTCCAGGTGGAGCGCCTGAAAGAGACCAAGAAGTAAGGCATTGTTTTCTGATGAGGTGCTGGTTTCCATCATAATTACTAGTGATTATAGTGGCGTCTCCAAAACCTACCCAATGGCAAAGTCGCCATCCAGATCCCCGCGGATATCTTTCCTTCCCGTTCCCTTTCTTATGAAGGGGAAGCGGAGCAGGGCAAGAGGATCATACCTGGACGCGTTTGGGACTTCCCGACTCGTGAATGGGAGATTGAAGTTGCGCCACAGAAGCCATTGCCTGTACCTTACTTGTCAGTCCGGACTCCGCAACCCCCGTCACTCTGCTTGTTTAGCTGACATCTGAACTGCTAGCATTCGAGTTCCTGAGAAAGATCTTATTGCCGTAGTTTCCCCCATCCGTATTTTCCCGCCCCAGGTGTGTTACCCCAGATCATCTCGAGTGCATTGGTTTGATTCGGTTTCAGCTTGCACTCTTCCCCGCCAGCATCGATTTAGGACACGCATGGGCCTTTGAACGCGTCAAAGATTAGAGCGGTCGTTCGATAACTCATAAAGGAACGTATTTCCACGCGTAAAACTTGAAGTCACAATGAGTTTTGGAAGATACTTCTTCTCGTTTGCTTGTGCCTATGTTTTCCTGTTAAACAACCAATACAAATGTCTGTAACTCCGGTTTCGATTGAATAGCAGATGGTAGATATGCAATTTACCTCGCAGTGTATGATGCTGGTAAACCCTCGGGGAAGGTTTTCCCCCGAATCAACACGGTTTCAAAGCCGACAACGAGGACTCCGACCAAGAGCTTGTCGTAAGCAGTATCTTCGAAACCTCAACTTCTTTAATTTACAAGTCTGCAAAAGATGCGATTAAGTCGGAAAACTAAAGATTTTCCAGGTTGAACTCACATGGGACTGAATCTTGGCAACTCAGGTGGTCACTTTACAACCTTCTACGTATCCTGAAGTTGTCCTGAAGATTGGCGAAAGGATGGTGCACAGCCACATGCGCATCGGCGCCTGTATAAAGACCGTGAGAATCAGATCAGACTCATATATTTAACCGCGCTATCCAACTTGTCAAAATGGGGGACCACCCGCACTGCCCCTCACTGCCACATTCAGCCAAAGTTGCTCCCAAGCACTTCTTCAAAACGCAAGACCAACGCCTCTCGGGTCTCGACCACCAAAGTTGTCGTGCGTTGACAGCGGTCGCCGGTATTCAACTTGAACTTCGAATTTTTTACCCCTAGTATTACCTCTTGAATGTTCCAGGTAATGAGCAGTTCTCTTCAAAGTGCCACTGGTTCTCGTCAGAACATTGAATTTCTCCCTTAGGATCACGACGACACTCATGATCGTGATTGGCTCGAGTTACCCACAGAGCTACTGGAACATATAATTCAGAACCTCGACGACGAGTCACTCTTTCAGCTGAGCCAGACTTGCAGAAATCTTCACTATCTAGCCCTCCCAGTCTGGTTTAAACGCAACTCCATTGAAGTCCTGGCGAATGGCTGGATCGACGTTCATAAACCGCGCAGTGAACATATACTTCCCGCCGTTCGAATGGCACTTTTCGTGCCAAGCCTACGGGGTATCAGATACTATTTCAACCCAGGTGCCGATCGGGTTCTGCGAGAATTCCATGAGCTTCATAGATCGGCGGCGTGGATGCCACCCGTTCAAGAGTTACGACTGCACTTTTCCGTGTTTGAAAACTGGATGCATCATGATATCAAGCCAAACGTTGGGAGGGTCCAACTAGACGTGGATGTGTGGAGAGGGCGGCTAACTGGCATGCTTGATCAATTTCTGAATAAGGGATGCAAGGCATTGTCCGTCACAGGCGGGACCACCATATGTTCCGCATTTACAGCCACCAGAACGGCTGGATCTAAATTCCAATTCTTCAAGGCTTTACCACGCTTTTGGAATGTCAAGTCGCGCAAGAGTGAAGAGTTCACTCCTACTGCATCCGGAAACGCCACAATACAACCTTTTCCTTCCCCACTGGAGTTTAGAGGAAAGGAACAGTCTTTTGAGCCCATCGCTCTTGAGGAATTCCATCTCCATTCTTGCATTCTCCTTCACCCACAATTCCTCGACTGGACCTTGTCGATGTTCCAGAAGTCACGGGCAATCACTATTTTGTCTCTCACAACTGCGATGCAGCCCGGCGCTTTGGCCAACTTGCTCTCCAACATCACTCTCCCTGTTCTTTCCAACTTTAAAATCTCGTGTCCACTGGTCATTCTTCTCCGCTTAGAGTCGGTCGATTTCCCTAGTATTCAATCCTTCCTCACGCGGCATCCCTCGATTACCACTCTCCACGTCGACAGTGTCCTCTTTCCTCATAAGTCTGCCACTCTAAAGAAGCCCATCCTACCCCGCCTTCTGCGTCTCGCCGCTCATCCAAACTACGTCACCTGGCTGCTTGGCCCCCAAGACGCTTTGCCTCAGCTTCAAAAAGTGACGATTTCATCACATTTCGAGTCGTACGATGTTGCTTTCGACTACGACTTATTTGACGATGCGATTAGATCGGTGGCTTCGATTACCCGACAGGTGGCCCTTTGCATCCGATTCGCCTCCACACTAGGAGTGGAGGATTGGTTCCGCAAGCACGTAGCCGCGGGGCCAAAAGGCAGTGTCATCTCTCTTTTGAACGGAGTGAGAGAACTGAAAATCTGTTGTCCTTATTTCTTCAATTGCTCTCCTAGTACACCAACTATCTTATCGGGTTTTCTGGCACTCTTTCCTAACCTGGAACATGTCCACTTCAAGGAACACCCGCGCAAGCTTGAAGAGCTATTGTTGGGACAGGCTTTCTTCGAATCCATCGCATCTCAATGCCCCACCATCACGACAGTGAAGTTCGGCAAGTCAGAGCCCCAGGAGTTTTATTCTTCGAGGGAGTGATATGCAGAAGTGTAGGTTAGATTTGGACTATGTAGTTCGCTCTCCAGAATGATATAGAAGGATATTTGTATAGCGAAAACATGATAAAACTGGATCTCTACTATGCAGGCACTCTAAGTTGACCACTGGTGCCATCCTTGCCAACCTCCTTCACATCAACCTCCAAATCCCCATCAATACCGACAATAAATTGTACCTCAACCGTCGTGGTCCACTTGCCGGCTTGAGGGCCTTTCCCTTTAGCTTTGATCCCAAGAAGTGCTTCCAATTCGAGCGCTCCGAGTAGAACAGGATTGGTAACGGTCTTGTGCTTGATTTCGATCTCCTCCTCCTCCTCTTCCTCGTCATCGCCATCTACCTCGGCCTTGGGCGGCTGCACCTTCTCGACCCGGATAGTGTCCTTAACCTCATACACCTCCAAGGCAAACCGTTTCGACTCCTCCGTAAGGCTAACGTCGAACGTCACCGTTCTGCGCACAGGGAGGGCGGTCTCCTTTTGAACCACGGGCACCCAGACTCCCCAAGGCTTGTTGTCAACCTTTTCCGCAGTGGGGTCGGGTAGGAGAACCCCCAGCGTCCGCGTGATAGCTCTGACGTGGTTGGCCTTGGTGTCCCTTGTGAAGGCTTCACTCAGCTCAGCATCTTCGCTGATGGAAGAGATCAGCGCGGCCTGGGCAGCGCAGCCGCGAGCCAGGATTGTTGTGGGATCTCCTACACCTCCGCCTACTACTGTACCGCGAGAGAAAGGTGTTTCGATCTCCTCATTGAAGCCGGCCCCGAGGCAGATGCGCTCGTCAAGCCCAGGCAGACACGTGGTGCCACCGACGTAGACAATTTCGTCAACTTCGTGGGCGTCAACGGCGGCTGAGGCGAGCAGAGCGACAACGGAATCTGCGACGGCTGTGTAGACGGTGCTGGCAACCATGTCGAAGCGCATGCGGTTGATGGAGCCAGTGTAGTCCAGACCATCTTTGAGCGATTCAACGGAGCACGTTGCAGCTCCCGGGGAGGCACTGATGGTCCGCTTTGTGTGCTCGATGGCTAGTCGGAGCTTGGCTTCCGCTCGTTTGTCTTGGATGTCGGTAGACGGACACACTGCAAGAGGTGTTTTAGTCTTTTTCGTAAAGTCGGCAGCGAAGAACTTGATCAACTTGTCGTCGATCTGATCTCCGCCTACGTTAGCGAGGGAGGAAGAAGCAAGGACGTAGGCGAGGCCTTCGCGGATGGATAGGAGAGAGAGGGAGAGGGAGGAGGCGCCCAGGTCAACAATGAGTTGGGTGCGGTCGGCTTGGAGATCTGTACTCCAGACATCCGTGGTCGTCGTGGCTGCTGCAGCTCCTGCTTCGTCTAACAGCTGCAGGATTTTGACGCCAGCATCCGATGCAGCCCTTTCGAGCGCGGCACGTTGGGTATCAGAAAACGAGGCTGGGACAGTGATGACGGCGCCTTGGATTTTTTTGCCCAAGAAGTCTTCGGCGGATTGGATGAGGGATTTGATGAAGATGGTTGTTACCTCGGAGACGGTGAGGATGCGCTCGGCGGGTATAGGTTCCGAGCGGGGTGTGGGGGCATGTGAGGCGGCGGGCGTGTTCAGCTGAGATGTAACGTTGCTTGTGGGCAGGGGCGAAGGAGCTGGCTGGAGAATTTCGACCTTGTAGGCCGGTTCGTCGAGAACATCCGGGTGGTGAATTATAGGTGCGGAGGTGGTTGATTGTGACTGAGGAATTTCAGAGAATCTGTGATATATTTAGTGAGATGCAGAACTGAATGACCCTAAAAATGACATACCTTTTGCCCAGTAAATCTCGGAAACCCGTGATGGTGTTTTTGGAGTTCTTAACCAGCTGACTTTTTGCTTGATTTCCGATGTACTGTACAAGTGATCAGTATATCAGTGCGAGCGATGAAGCGTTCACGCACGATTTCTTCGCCGTGGAATGCAATAGCACACGCTATTTGACGCTCTCCATCTTCGTTAGCAATACATTCCGCTAAACCCTCCTGATTTGCCGCCAAAATCGTGAACCTCTGGATTTGCAGAACAAAATCGTTCTGACCTTTGTAAACACCGCTATTGACGCGTAAGTGTTGCCGAAATTGATGCCTACAACGGGCGGTAAGAATGAGACTTCTGTAGGGGCTTCAGCGCCGCCATTCGGCAGCGTTTTTGAGGACATTATTGGTGGTGGTGGGGTTTCAAAGAGCAAGAAATTTCAAATAAAAATTCCTTGATCAAAATCTCACTGGACACGTGCGCTTACGACCACGTGATTGGATATAATAATTGTTCCACCGCCTGCTCGTCTTGCTTCAAACCATCATGTCCTGTACTCATCTCGACACTCTGACGCGCCTTCAGCCCCCTAGGCTCTCGAATTCTGTACACAGAGAAGAGTGTACACAATGTTTTGACAATCAGGCTCGCTCTTGTCTTGTTTGATTAGACTTCGGGGATTTACTAACAAGATCGATCTAGGATGGCGCTTTGGGCGTAGAAGTTTGCTTGAGCTGCTTCAACGGGGGGTGTCTTGACCCAGAAAGACATCATCATCGCACCCATGTTCGAAAATCAGGTCACCCGTTTAGCTTGAACGTGAAGAGGAAGCTAAAACCATCTGCCCAACGTGTACGTTTCCTTATGTTGACCGTGATATTAGCCCTAACTCGTACTTCTTCGAAGTCGGAAGACCAAGAACCCCCTGTGAAGATGACGAAGCTTGCGATCGTCGAAGAGCGAGAGGAGGACAAGTATGACCACGCCACTGTAATCAAGTGTTGGAGGTGTGACCCCGAGAAAGGTTCAGAGATACCAAACGCAGCAGCGCACCCGAAGGTACGTGTCACCAATCAAATCTCTGTACACTTTCTTAATTACTCGAGCAGGTCAAATCCCTTGTTGAGGGCGTGATGCTTTCGATGTCTTCAGCGCGGCAATCAGAAGTGAAAGCTTGGGAAGAGGAAATTACGGCTTGCGAACACACCCTAACGCTCGAACAATTTGCCATCGGCCACATTCCTGCCTCTGGTTAGTCTTTCTACTTCCTGGTTTCCAAGTTGCTGACAAATTTTGCATTCATCAGGTCTCGCTCATTGTAACGCCTGCGATCTTAAAGAGAACTTATGGCTGTGCATGACTTGCGGATCGTTAGGATGCGGACGCCAGCAATTCGGAGGCGTTGGTGGGAATGGTCACGGATTAGGCCACTTTGAAGCTACACGTCATCCTGTCAGCGTGAAGCTCGGGACCATTACGCCCGAGGGCAACGCAGGTTGGTTTCCATTCAACCCGGCCATCTTTATTATTGCTGACGCGTTCTCCTCTTTAGACGTCTATTGCTACATTTGCAATGACTCAAAGCTAGATCCTGAACTGGCGACACATCTATCAACGTTCGGTATCAACGTTCAAACACTAAAGAAGACCGAGAAAAGCATGACAGAGTTGGTTAGTGTCTGATTCACCATGATCTAGCGCACCCTCACCCGCCTTTTTTGACAGCAAATTGAGCAAAATCTCGCCTATGACTTCTCTCTCGTCGGCGATGACGGAAAAGCACTCGAACCCGTCTTTGGCCCCGGCTTGACCGGCCTCGCTAATTTGGGGAACAGGTATGCATACGTGGCTTGCCCTGCAGTCCGCTTGATACCCTAACACTCTCCTCCTTCAGCTGCTACATGGCCTCTGTCCTACAAACAGTTTTTTCCTTGCCCAAATTCCAGACCCGTTACGGCGTCCTCTCCAAAGAGCACAGCGTATCGTGTACCATCGCCCTCCCAGCCGACTGCGTGGAATGCCAAATGCACAAAGTTGCAGACGGGCTGCTGAGTGGTCGATACTCACACCCGGCTCCCTACGCTTCCGGGACTCCCTCGCATCCATCTGATCCCCCACAACATCCCTCTCCGACTCCGGTTTTCCAGCAGGGTATCAAGCCTACCAGTTTCAAGGCCCTGATTGGGAAGGGCCACCCAGAGTTCTCCACGATGAAGCAACAAGACTCCGAAGAGTTCTTCACTTATCTCGTCACTACGCTGCGCAGGGATATGCACAAATATCAAGATCGATCTGATCAAGGTGAGTTACTCATGTGTCCGTCCTTTCGCTCGAGCGCTCATGCGTACCCCACTCAGATCCTACTGCTATCTTTTCGTATGGAACGGAACAACGCCTACAGTGTGGGGATTGTAAGAGGGTGAGATATAGGGTGGACAACATGGACGTTGTTAGCCTGATCGTACCCGCGACGGAGAAAGGGAAGAATGAGGATGGAAAGACGATTTACGAGGACGTCCTCCTCACGCAGTGTTTGGAGTCCTTGCTGGGATCTGAGGCCTTGGAGTATGCCTGCCCGTCGTGTCAGAAATCGGTGATCGCTGTCAAGTTCGTCCCTTTCACATTCGTTTCGCTCATCTGGACTGATCAGAACGATAGGGAGGCGAAGTTCGCATCCTTCCCCGATGTCCTTGTCGTACATACCAAGAAGTACCAAACCACGACCTGGGTACCTACTAAGCTCGGTACGCTTTCCATGACTTTTCGAGTACTCTTTCCCTGACCCCCCCGTCAGACATACCTCTCATTTTGCCTGCCGATGATGAGATCGTCTTCACCGAGAACCATCTCGGGCTAGGATTGAAACCAGGAGAAGAAGAATTGCCCGGCGACGCCCCTGGTTCGTCTCTCTCTCTCTCTCTCTCTCTGTGGTCTGTCCACTAATCTGACTGAACTAACAGCGGCAGCTGCTTTACCCCAATTCAACGATGCCGCGATCGCCCAACTTGAGGGGATGGGATTCCCCACGCTTCGCTGCCAAAAGGCACTTCTGGCCACGGGCAACAGTGACGCAGAAGCTGCTATGGAGTGGTTGTTCTCGCACATGGACGATCCTGGTCTGTCCCTCGTCTTGGCTCCCCTTTCTTTCTTTCGTTACTCATCAACCCCGTTCTTAGACATCGATGAACCGATACAGGCAGCTCAATCTGTCAGAGGACCAGAGCCATCTGCTGACCAGATTGCCATGCTTTCTGATATGGGATTCACGGCGGCCCAGGCCCGGAAGGCCCTCTGGGAAACAGTACGTGATCTTTTTATCCTCGTATGCTCATCTATTCAATTGACGCTCGTTACAGTCGGGCAACGCCGAACGCGCAGTAGAATGGTTGTTCAACCACCCTGACGACACTGGCGAAGATGCTGCTGCCCCTACTGCAGGCCAACCCGCTCCTGCCGCTGTCCCTGGGTCCAAAGCCGTTCCCGCTCGTTTCAGATTGAAAGCCTTCATTTCACACAAGGGGCTCTCGGTGCACTCTGGTCATTACGTTGCCCACATCCGGGTTAACGGTCAATGGTTGTTGTTTAATGATGAGAAGGTAGTCAAGGCCGACGATGAGAGTGTGAAGGAGCTCAAGAAGCTGGCGTACTTGTACTTCTTTGAGAGTGTTTAGAGGGTGATGGACGGACGGGTCGGGACAAAGAAAGAAGTAAAACTGCAGCTGTATTTACATTGTACTATACATATCCAATTGACGTCCAACTTTCTAGTGAGCATCGTACAGGTATCCAATGTCCATTCATAGACTACGGTCCGCATCACGGCCAACAAGGGTATAACTGACTTCTGTACCGTCACACCAAACTCTGAAGAGGCAACCTATTTATCAGTACAGTTTTGATGCGGGGGCACCTCAACGCGATTGCCTTGACCAAACCCCCGAGCAACATAGCCTGCTCGTTCACCTCAGGCTGCTCCACAAACCTAACATGTTCAAGTCCAGGAAACAGCGCCAGAAACTCTGGCAGAATCTCCAGCGTACGTTCCGAAAACTCCACGAACCAAAACGAATGGATCGCGAGGTTCTTGATCTCAGTCAACTGAGATACGGCGCTGACTTCGCGCCCGATGTCGACGTGGTCCTGCAACCACGCATCCACCCCCTTCTCAGAGCTGAACCGGATACCAAGCTCGACTTGCCCCGCGTTCCGCGCTATTGAGATGAGTGCATCGTCGAAATGGGTATAGTCGAAGTCCGGTGTCAGGTAATACTCCGAGGAAATTGTGATGGAGGTTAAACAAGGCAATGAATCGGGTGAGCTGAGAAGCCAGGTGATGTACGCCGGATGAGCGGTGAGCTTGACCAAATTCGGAAGGATGCCCTCTTGTGCAGGGGGGAGAGTGCACGGGATGAGGAGGCCGTGGAGGTGGAGGAGGGTGATGGAGGGGTGGCGGGAGAGGAAGGATTCGATACAAGGAAACTCGGGTCCTTGTGGTCGCACAATGAGGTCGGATGTTATTTCGAATTCGGATAAGGAGGGGAAGGTGAGGGCTGCGAAGAAATCGGACCATGTCTCCGAAGGGATGTCGATGCATTTGAAGGAGAGGGTGGTGATGCATTCTCTGTGATGTTGGAGAGAGGACCGAGTCCATTCTAGGAATGGGGGTTGGAGCATCATTTCGCAGTGTACGTAGAATTCGTGGAGGGAAGGCTTGATGCCCGGGTCGCTCGATACCGGTTGGTGTACATCGGCAGTGACGGGGGGAGGCGGCTTTGCGGGCTCTTCCAGTGGTGTTGTAGCCTGCAGAGGCGTCTTCGCAGGCACTGCATTGCAGAATAGGGAAGTGAACTTGCGCCTCAACGCTCCTAAGAACGTTCGGGAAGCCACCTTTTCTTCCCTTGCCTTCGATAGTTGGAGAGCGCTAGCAAGCCTGGAACGCAGTTGCTCGACGTCCCTAGTGAGCGGCGTGACTGGTTTCATGGTTTCTCGTGGGTGTGCGTATATCGTCCAGACTCGGGAACCGCCTGTGACGTGCAACTTCTTGCATCCCTTCACCAGAAATTGGTCCAGCATACTACCAAACTCCTTCCTCCACACGTCCACATCTAACATAGGCCTCTCCGCGTAAATGGGTGGGGAGCGGTCCAACCAGCTGTCAAACACTGAGAAGTGCAACTTCACTTGGTCGACGGAGGGCAGTCGTGCCACCAACCCACGAAGCTCACGAACTTCGCCCAACAATCTGTCCAGCTCAGGATTGAGGTAATAGTGGATTTGGTCGAGCTTCTCAACGAACAGCGCCATTCGTAGTGCTTGCAACGTCTGTCTCGGCGCCTTGTACACAACCACCCAACCACTCGCCGGCTCTTTCACGTCGTTCTGCTCAAAGAAAGCAGGTAAAGCCACGTAGTGCAGGGCTCTGCACGCCATGCTCAGCAAAAAGAGCGAGTCGTTGTCGAGATATTCGACAATTAGGCCTAGGAGCTCGTTTGGCAAATCCAAGAGTTTCGTGAGTTTAGGAGGTGTATCCATCGTGGATTTCGAGTCGTAAGAAAATGCCTGGTCTAGGCAGAATAAATGGTTGAGGGGGCACTGCAACCGGCGTCAGGCGGTGCAAATAGACAGAAAAGTGTGAGCACCGGTCAAGTAAGCGGGAGCGGCGTACTCCGATGGAATTGATGAACCTAACATCCATTGACATGTTCCAGGCCCACGTTGGTACCAGGAGGTACGGGGGGATGAGACTCGGACGAGAGAAACTGGACAACAACTTTGCCAGGTTTTCAGAAAACTATGGTTTTTTTTTCAAAAAAAAAAATCTTCCTGCGCTGATCAAAAGTACTACGTACTCAATATTCGGAAGATGCAAAGGAGAAACTTAAGAGAAATCCATATAAGTACAAAGACCTAGGTCATCGAAAGTACGACTATCACCGACTTTGAAGGTTCCACCAGCGATGGCCTTTCTGTTAGGTGGTAACACCAATTGCACTTTATCAACCTGATATTTGAAATTTCAAAACGAAGGGCCAGCCTGCTGCCTGAGGGTTAGTACTACCCCACAGACAGTAAGGCTTGAGTAAGATCGGAGGGACGACTAAACGGGGAAGTCGAGACCTGGAATACCCATCTCGTACAAGGAATTTCAGAGAATCTGCGGGCTCAATATTGAGATGCAGAACTGATTGACCCTGAAAAATGACAGCCTTTTTGCCCAGTAAATTGTGGAAAACATTGATAGTGTTTTCAAGAGTGTTTTTAGAGTCCTCAACTTTTCCTATATTTCCGACGTACTGTACAAGTGATCAAGCCTCCACGCCGCACGATTGCTTCCAACTTTCTAGTGAGCATCCTACACGTTTCCAATGTCTGTCCATACGCTAGAGTATCAATCACTCCTTTCCCCTCACTCACGCAACCCCTGAAAAGACCACTGCCTATTTATCAGAACACTTTTAATATGGGGGCACCTCAACGTGATCGCCTTGACAAAACCACCAGCCAACATAACCTCCTCGTTTCCCCTTGGTTGCTCCATAAACCCGACATGTTCAAGACTAGGAAAGAGTGCCAGAAACTCTGGCAAAATCTTCAACGTACGCTTTGAAAAATCACCGCACCAAGACGAATAGATCGCCAGGTTCTTGATCTTAGTCAACTGAGAGACGGCGCTTACTTCGCACCCAATGTCGACGTGGTCCTGCAACCAAGCATCCATCCCCTTCTCGGACCTGAACTGGATACCAAGCTCAACTTGCCCGGCGTTCCGAGCTATTGAGACGAGTGCATCGTTGAAATGGGCATAGTCGAAGTACGGTCTAAGAGAATATTCTGAGGAAATTGTTATAGAGCCTAAGGAAGGCAATGAATTGGGTGGGCTGAGAAGCCAGCTGATGTATGCAGGATGTGCGGTGAGCTTGACCACGTTCGGAAGGATGCTTTCTTGTGCAGGCGGGAAGGTGGACAGGGTGAGGAGGCCGTCAAGGTGGAGAACGGTGATTGAGGGATGGCGGACAAGGAAGGATTCGATACAAGAAAAGTCGGGCCCTTGTGGTCGCTTAAAGCGGCGGGATGTGATTTCGAACTCGGATAAGGAGGGGAAGGTGAGGGCTGCGAAGAAATCGGACCAAGTCTCCCATGGAATGTCGATGCCTTTGAAGGAGAGGGTGGTGATGCATTCTCCGTTGAGCTGGAGCGTGGACAGAGTCCACTCTAGGAACGGGGGTTGTAGCAGCATTTCGCAGTGCACGTAGAATTTATGGAGAGAAGACTTGACACCTGGGTCGCTCGATATCGGTTGGGGGACACCGGTGACGGGGGGAGGCGGCTTCGCGGATTCTTCCAGTGGTATTGTAGCCTGCAGAGGCGTCTTCGCAGGCACTGCATTGGAGAATACGGAAGTGAACTTGCGCCTCAACGCCCCAAAGAAAGTTCGGGAAGCCAGCTTTGCTTCCCTTGCTTTCAATAGTTGGAAAGAGCTAGCAAGCTTAGAACGCAGTTGCTCGACGTCGGTAGGCGGTATGACTGGCTTCATCGTTTCTCGTGGGTATGTGTATATCGTCCTGATTCGGGAACCACCTGTGATGTGCAACTCCTTGCACCCCTTCACCAGAAATTGGTCCAGCATGCTGCCAAACTCTTTCCTCCATATGTCCACATCTAACGTAGGCCTCTCCTCGCTGGTAAGTGGGGGGTTGTCCTCCAACCAGTAGTCAAACGTTAAGAAGTGTAACCTCACTTCGTCGACAGAGAGCAGTCGTGCCACCAACCTACGAAGCTCACGAACTTCGCCCAACAAGTTGTCCAACCCAGGATTGAGGAAATAGTGAATTTGGTTGAGCTTCTCGACGAACAGCGCCATTCGTAAGGCCTGCAAAGTCTTCCTTGCGGTCGGTGCCCTGTGGAGAAACACCCAACCATTCGCCAGCCCTTTCTGGTCGTCTCCCTCAAAGAAAGCAGCTAGAGCCGCGTAGTGGAGGACCCTGCATGTCATGCTTAGGCAGAAGAGCGAGTCGCTGTCGAGATATTCGAAAATGAGGCTTAGAAGCTCGGTTGGCAAATCGGTGAGCTTGGGAGGTGGATCCATCGTGGATTTCTAGTCGTAAGAACTGCGTAAGAAAGTGCCTCGAGGAAGGGGGAGAGGGGGAACCGCATCCTGTGTCAGGCGGTCCAGGCCCTGTCAGCCGCTCGACACAGTGACAAACGGGTGAATGCCGGTAGGAGCGGTGTACTCAGTCTCCGTAAGCGGTGCACCCCGATGGGGTAGGATGGGTATTCACCTGTTCCGTTCGTACTAGAAGCCCTCTGGTGTGATTGTAGAACAGAATGAGGAGACTCGGAGGAGAGAAACAGGACGAGGACGTTCCGTATTTCGAGAGTCCGAACTGCCGCCGATCCGCCGATCCGCCGATCCGCCGATCCGCCTGTGCATCATCACGTGCACATAACATATGAGTATTTCACAAACGAAATTGGGCTGAGCACGACGCAACTGCAGGGTAGCTAGCTGCGAAGGTGGCTATAACTAGCTCAAATTCATAATATCTACAGTACACCTGTCTTATGCACAACCAGGACAGTAGTATTTACGTGAGCCAGTCCACCTAACACACTGGACAGCAACAAAATAGAAAGACAGGGAGCCCATTCAGGGGGGGGAGGCCGTTTGTCGAGAAAGAGGGCCGTTTGTCAAGGGAGGAGGCTGTTCGTCGAGAAATGAGAACTTTTGCCATTTGTCGATGGCAGGGGCCGTTTTTGAGGGAGGGAAAGGGCTGTTCATTGAGTTCGTCGAAAGGGGGCCGTTCACCATTTGTCGAGAGAGAGAGGGGACCGTTCGTTGAAAGATGAGGCCGTTCGGCATTTGTCGAGAGGGGAAGGGGGGCCGTTCATCGAAAGGGGAGGCTGTTCGCCCATTCGCCTTTTATCGAGGGTGCCGTTCGTCAAGGGAGGCCATCCGCCATTTGTCGAAGGAGGGGGAGGGGGGCATTCTTCGAGGGAGGAGGCCGTTCACCACTTGTCGAGGGAGGGAGGGAGAGGGGGGCCATTTATCGATGGGAGGAGGCCGTTTGTCAATGGGAGGAGCCGTGAGGGGAGGCCACATCCAGCCTCAATGTGGTGGGAGCTTTAGGCTTGGGCTGTATTACCCACTTGGACTCCTTGGACGCTGAGGGACACATCAGCACCTGTTATATGTCAACAGGACATTCACCTATGGCCTTCCTGTGCTACAGTGGGCATCGTACTTAGCACCGAAGTTGCGATAGGCTGGCCAAAATAGGCGAAGAGACGTCAGCGCCATCGTAAGCAATGACTGAGCCGACACCTGAACTAAACGTCGTAACCGTCTGTGGTTGATACAGTTGCTCAACAGCGTCGAGCGGGCAGGTGTTGAAGAGGGCCGTGACCGCGTTTGGCAGAGGTAGGTGTCGTGCGAACTCTGGACAGGCGGACTGGCGGATCGGCGGCAGTTCGGACTCTCGGAATACGGAACATTCTGAACAGGACAACAAGGCCAGGTTTTCGGAAAACCATCGGAAACAAGATCAAAAATATCCAATCAAGTGGCGATGCAGGTACCAAACTCAATATTCCGAAGATGTCGGAAGGAGAAACTTGGAAGAGAATCTATCTAAGTACAGAGACCTAAGCCACCTAATACGTTGCAAGTGCTAAAAAAAAAGACCCGAATTCACTTATAGTGTTTTAAGGCTGGAGAAAACACATTGTCAATATATCTGGGTGAAATTGACGATAATAACTCAGAACTCACCCAATCGCCGGGATGGTTTGATCTGCAATAGGCAGCAAGGGGAGCGTACCCAACACAGGGCAAGTTAACGCAAGAGCACGATCCTTCAATGTGCTGGCAGGATCAACGGACATGTAATTCCAAACGTCGGTGTCGCTCCTTTTCCCCGTTGATGTACCAAAACATTTCTAAGAACGTATGGTTTATAAAACGTCATTGTGGATACCTTAACCAAACTAAAACTTGCCTTGAAGACCTCAAAGTTTTTGGAGAGAAGTGGCAACTTCACGTTAGGGTTGAATATGCCGAAGAAAGCAGCAGAAGCGCCTGCGTTGACGTTGAAGCCGGCGCCAATTCCAAAGCAGCCGTTAAAGGCGGCTACAGTAGAGGGGATCGGCGCTGGAACTGATGTGGCGGAAGAAGGCGCTATGGAATAATATTAGAGTTGGTATTCACCTTGTATTCACCACTGCAAGGTTGACTTAGGAAAACACACCTGGCGGATTGAGAGAAAGAATAGTTTTAGAGGTCGCGCCGAGGTCGAGCTTCATGGAAGAAGAAGCGTCAAGCTCGAGGGAGACTTTCGCTTCAGCCGCACCATTCAGCGCGGTGATGCCGAGATTCAGGCTCGGAATGAGATGCGCTTCCACTGTGCCCGTGGCCTTTGCGGATGGGCTCACAGAGACTGTGAGGGCTGATGGATTATGATCAAGAAACGTCGAAGGCGGGCGACCATCGAAACGTACGAGTATCACCGACTTGGAAGGTTCCACCAGAGGCAGCCATTTTGTTGGGCGGAAACACCAGTTGCACTTTATCGACATGATAATGAATGCCGACGCTTATGTCGACGCCAGTGGCGAGTGTGGCCTTTGCTTGGGCATCGATTCGGAAAGAGGGGCCAAGGGTCAATACCCTGTAGTTCCAATATATTAGAGTTCAAGTGGAAAGCGACATGAGGAGAGACGATTACCCGGGGAAGTCGAGACCTGGAATACCCACCTCATACAATTTGATCTTGCCAGAATCAACAGCCCCCGTTGCACCGCCCTTCATACTGATGATACCGTCGAGATCAGCGGTCATGCCTGGAAAATTTAAACAATCAGTACCATTCTGCGGGCGAGGAGAAATAAGGACTCACTAGTGATGAAAGCTAGCTCGCTAACAGTAGGAGGTGTAATTGTTCCGGAAGCAGCAACGCCAATAGTGACATCAACATGCGCCTTGGCCTCCATATCAATCGAAACTTGGGCTTCAACTGGCGGACATGAGAGGGATTGCTTGAATAGATTAAGCTTTTGGTCAATGTCAAAGGGGGTAAGGGTCTTGTTCAAGGTTTCCGCGCTGAGAGAGGCAATAGCTTTGGAAATACAACGCGTCCATCAGAACAAAGGTTTTGCGATATCAGAGAACTTAGACTCACCATCAAGAGAATTTCCAATAAAATCGAAGAAACCACGATCGTTGATACGGCTGCGACGTTGGGAAACCGGAGGCGTAGTGACCAAATCCCCGCTTGCCCCAGGAATGTTTGCGGCTCTTATGGCAAAGTTAACAGGCCCATATCTGGCGAGATAAATCAGCAACGGGCTAGACAACTGACGTCAAAAGTTTGGATGTACTTGGCCCAGTTCGCCAAAGGGAAATTTGTATCGATATACAGAGCCTTGACTTCATGTTTAGTTCCATTAGTTGTGGCAATGCGCGACGCGATATCAGCAGGAATGGATTGGTCATTGTGGACCCACGCGCGGGCGACCCGCGCAAAGGCGCTTTTGCTGCACTATAATGACCCCATGATTATAGGACCCTACGATAATAATGAGGCAACGTACGTTCTCGGGCAAGCGGACAATCTTTCCTTCCGCGCCGATCTGGTATAGGTGGGAACAGTCACCGTTCTTGTTATTGCAAACCAGTCGGATTTCCTGGGCGAGAACGTTGGGAGAGCAACCTAGAATCTCCCAACCGGCGGCAGGTGTGATATCGGAGATGGCATTCTTGGAACCCCACTGATTGTCATTGTAAATTTCAAGCGAGAATAGATAAGAGGTTCGACGCACGATTTTTAGTGTACCCGAAGCTTTCCCTCCGGTAGCAGGTAGATCTACCATGATACAGCAGTTAAATATAACTTGTAGCCAGACGCTAAAATTAACTCACCATACGAGCAAACACCGGCATGGCAAGGTTGACTCCAGTCATTTGCGGCCGTCACGACGGAGATGGCCGCAGCCAGAACGAAAGCGGTCGAGCGCATTCTGGGAGGAGTAAAGAAAGTGAAATGGCCAACTAGGGCCTATAAATGAACGGACGACGAAGACGTATTGTATGAAGGGAGAAGGTAAGGAAAGTGTGCGTGCGCGTTCGCAATGGTATCATGGGTGTCTTATCCGTTGAGCACGTTGCTACAGGTAGCCACCAAAGGGTCCAAATGTGATTGTTGCGGCGTCCGCTACGAGAAAACCATGCGGATGAGCAGGCGAGTTGTAGTCTAAGTCTAGCGAAATGTTAGCGTTCTGGTAACCTGGTTGCTTCTCATACACGTTGGCTCAATCGAAATTAGAGGCGGTCGGGAAGAAGGAAAGCTCGTGATTGTAGTCCGGTAACATGATGGTCGCGATCTGCGACTCGCGAGGCGGAAGATTGGCTTGGCTTGTAGACCAGGATGTTGATTCTCTCGCGGCAGGCCCTTTGTAGTGAAGCACAAGAAAGCCATATAAACGAACGGCCAGCCGGCCACAGGCTATTTCGTTAGAGTTTCGTTGAAGTCAAGTTGAAGTCGTGAGCTTGCATCATAATAACCGTCAACAGTCTTCATAGCCACGTTCAATATTTTGGCACCTTGTAATGACTAAAATCCAAGGACTAAGTAGTATAATTCATATAGTAACTTGTAAGTGAGCGGTGAAGTAAGTATATATCCAGCCTCCCCGTCTAAGTATCACAGCAAATCCCTCACACGATTTCTAACATCTTTCCCTTTCGCGCTACCCCGCCCCTTCATCTTCCCAAACACCACCACCTTCCCATGCTCACCCGCCCGACCCGACCTACCAGCCCGATGCAAAAAGTCAATCATATTCCGCGGCTCATCAACGATGAACACATGCTTAATCGACGGGTCAAAGTCCAGACCTCTGGAGAGAAGCGAGGTAGTGATCAACACAAGTGGTGTCGTTTTAGGATCATTCAACGGAGTAAACGACTGTTGTGAAGTTGCAGATTTCGTTTGCAGTGGCCGTAAGAACCCGTCAAGGTGGTGGTTCGACCCTCTCTTCCTCGTTTCGCTATTACTCGTCAAAGCTACATTCTTGATCTCCCGTTCGTTGAGGTGCGAGCTCAACTCCACGACTTTAGTGCTCTTGTTGCAAAACACGAGCACCTTGGACAGCTGCCCGGCTTGTCGATGGAACGTCGACGAGTCCTCAGCCCAGACTCTGCGTATCCGCCGCTCAATGTCTGCAAATTTGTTCCCCCCGGTCCAGGAAACATATTCAGGCCGCAAGGTTTGGGGAAGGTGGTGCAGCCGTGGCGAGGCGAGTCTGATAAGCGATGGATGGCAATTTTCGAGGTACGACGCGAGGGCGGTGGGGATGGTAGCGCTTGTTAGGAGGAGATTGAATGGGTAGGAAATAGGCGTAGTTGGTAGGGCAGGTGTGACGGGGACAGGATGCCCACGAGCAAGACTGATGTCCGACAGGAGTGTTCTGGTCGTTTCTTGGAAATCGGGATCTGACAAAGAATCAGTATAGATAAAACAGAAAGAATAATCATACACACCGAAGAGAACATCAGCTTCATCAACGATAACCCACTCCACATTCGCCAGACCCATCTCAGGTTTACTCCTCCACTTGCCAAACCCAACCATCTTATCTCTCCCCCTCCTCGGCGTCCTTCCTCCTTCCTCCTCATTCTCTTCCTCCTCGCCCTCCTTCCGATCCCAGCCCCGACCACGAACCATCTCCATCAACTTCATCGGCGTCCCCACCACCACATCCACAGGGAACTTGTCCTTCCTGACCTCAAACTCACCCTCCCCAACCATCATATCAAACTGCGCCGCCATCTTACTCGCAGTCTCATCTCGCTCTTTCGTGCTCTTGACATTCGCTTTGGACGCACACATTACGCGGAGTTTGACGTTGTGTAGCAGGGATTTAGCGAACCCTGACAGCTGGCGCGAGAGCTCGTGTGTAGGAGCCAAGATTAACGCCCGTGGGTTATAGGCCCGGGCTTGTTGCACGTGGGGTACTTCCGCTGCCGCTGTATCGAGCTCGGCTTGCTTTAGGTTTTGTAAGAGAGGGACAAGGTACGCGATGGATTTTCCGGAGCCTGTTTCGGAGGCGAGGAGGAATTGTTTCCATCCTGGGCTCTGGTTGAGCAACCACTTGAGACTGAGCGATTGGATGGGCGTGGGCTTCGCATTGGGCCCGAGCACCTCCTTCAGGGAAGATAAGAGCCCGGGGAGGATGGGAGGTGAGGCGAACTCTGTGGGAGCTGGGGAGTCTGTGGTGAGTTTTGAAGAAGCGTCGTTGCCCGCTGTGGGAGCAAGGGAAACGGGCTGTGGTGGATCGTAGAACTCTGAAGGTCTCTCTGCCTCTTCCTCTTCAGAGAACACTCGACGTGGCGCCGTAGGCCTACCGCTACGCCTTGGCTCTAGTTGTGAGCTTTCGTAGGATGACCTAGACCGGTCATCGTAGTTCTCAGACTCCCGCCGTGAGTCCCCTCGTGACGGATAACGCCGGTCTTGCGCGCCGGTCTGCCCTCCTGGAGAGTCTTGCCGGAGACTCCAGCGACCAGTCCGACGCTTCCAATCCTGCTCGTTCCTAGGTTGTGAGCTTTCGTAGGGTGACCTAGACCGGTCAACGTAGTTCTCAGACTCTCGCCTTGAGTTCCCTCGTGACGGATACCGCTGTGCTTGCGCGTCGCTCTGCCCTCCTGTAGAGTCTTGCTGGAGACTCCAGCTACCAGTCCTACGCTTCCAATCCTGCTCACTCCTGTACGCAGACCGTCTCCTAAACGAAGGGTTCCTATCGACTGGAGGCTCCCAAGGTTGGCTGTTGGTGTGCGGCACCGGATCGCGCTCAATGGCGGGTTTAGGAAAGGAAGGTGGGCGAAAGGAGCTCCTGGGGGGTGCAGCCTCTGACCGACCATCCCCAGAACTCGGCTTCTGATTCAGGCGGGGTTTTCTGGGTGCATCGCTTGAACGACTATTTCTAGAGCTCGGCTTCGTATCCTGGTGTGTATATTGCTTTGCTGCTACCTCCAAGCGACCATTTCCAGAGCTAGGCTTTAAATCTGAGGCCAGCTTTCGTCTAGAAGCACCTACAGCACGTCAAATTGAGCGAAAAAAAAGTACAAAAAACGCGGTAACTTACTCCGTTTTGGCTGGTCTTTGGACAAGATGTTGCTAGTATGAAGCCATAGACATGGCTGTCCTTTACGACATATTTCAGAAGTCGTCCTCAGCGGCTGCCAGAGCAATCCTGACATACAGAGCAAGGCGGAGGAAGATAGTAATAATGGAAAATATTTTCTTAGCTAAGCCTGGGTAAAAATAAACTTTTTTTTGCCCTGTATCAATCACTTGCCCTTGGCTTGCACTCCTTATATCCTCATACACTTTTAAAGTACGCTTCTTGACAATTTTTTTTTAGGTCGGGTGTTTTTGAACAGGTACTGGAACCAGCACTGCGCAGCTACTAGATCATCTGAAATGGATAGAAGACAAAAAATCATGGACGCTCAGGGAATGATCTTGGCAATTTCCGAAGCGCAAATGGGGCACAAGCAAGGAGGGATCCCAATTGGCTCAGTCCTTCTCCTTCCAAACGAGTCGGATGCGGAAGGTACCTTCACACTCCTAGGATCAGGCCATAACGAGCGGATACAAAAATCGTCTCCAACTTTGATATCAGCTTTGGAGAATGCTGGGAGGCTCTCTCCAGAAGTATACAGGAAATCCACGATCGTAAGATACATATCTTTCTCTTGAGGAGCTCCCGAAACGATCGCTTACTTTTTTGTTTAAACAGTATACAACTTTAAGGTACCCGAAGGCATGATAAGACGCCATCCTCATTCATTAGAATATTTAGCCCCTGCAGTATGTGTTCTGGAGCGATCTTGCTGTACAAGATCCCCCGCGTGGTCATCGGAGAAAACGAGACGTTTCTAGGAGAGGAAGAGCTTCTGCGCAGTCGCGGCGTCGAAGTAGTTGTTCTGGATAACGAAGAATGCAAAGATATTATGCGTCGATTCATCCAGGAAATGCCGCAGGTACGTGCTAGCCAAGAATAGGAATAGTGGGTGATACGCTTATTTCCGCCATAGGCATGGAATGAAGACATTGGAGAGCTTCGTTGACGTTCGGCATTTGCGCTGAACCCCGTTTCCTGTGCCCGGGTTTACCTCCCCGCACCCGCAGGTTTGGTGCACCTGCCTTTCAGCCTAGTAGCCTGGCATGCCAGCTTGCTGCGGCTCTGGAAGTGATCAGAATTAGTACCGGTGTGTTTCCTTTCGGTACTGCTTGAGCATTCAGGTCATCCTCGAGCTCGTTCCTCAAAGGATAGGCTAGAGACGATATATTTCGTTGATGCACGCCGCCCAAAGAGGATGATTGATGACACTCAAAAGTCAGGCACCTGTTAAGGCATTTTCTAAACGAGGGGATGACGTCGTTTCAGACTCACTATGACTCGCTTTTCGCAGCCGTGGGCGTCTTTATTCTCATATAACCCGCGATAGGTTATCGATCGTAATGCCCATTTAGGAAATGAGGGGAGAAGGAAGAAACTGGTTGGCAAACCCCGAACCAAACCAGAATCCTGTGAGTTCGTGTCAAAGAATCTTGTCGACGTTAAGATTTCCGAACTCTACGCAGATCTATTTTTCCGCGAAGGAAACTAGTTCAGAAAAGGACGATCGTACGCGTTGACAAGAACCATTCAGGATAAGGTTTGCATATCATATCTAAACACACGTGTCCCAGATGATAAATATTTAAGGCGGCCAAGGTCGTCCGTGCGAAGCAACATACCCTTTCTTCCCAACTACGAGCAAGCCCTCAAGTTCTTGCCCTACCAGTACTGTAAGGGCACCCTTCTCTTTAATCTCACGCCAACGCCCCTTCTTTAAGTCTTGCTCTCATTGTTCGCCCTTCTTCCACAGACGGTTCAATTCTACTAACTTGAAGAATCATCGAAGATGGAGACCTTGTCCGATATCTCACTCTGTCGTCATCGCCTTGGTACGATGAGGTTGTCTTCTACCGCGAGCTCCTCTGAGGAATATCTCTTGACCATTCGGGTCATGCAACACGTATGATCTACTCTTGCATGCCGAGTACTACTCTCATGTCTTCCACCAGTCGGGGTCAACATTCAAGAAGCTTGTGGTCAGACGACCAGATATGACAAGCGTGAGACTCCTTGAGGTGTGTCTACAGTGTGATCGAGAGGACCTTATTCAAGCTGAGTACAACTCACAGATGTTTGACTACCTTGCCTCGCGACCCACGATCAGACATCCGCATATTGCATTGGAGGAGATCATCAACGGAAGCGATGGCCCTCCTGCCAGACCAGGCTTTCACGACGCTATCGGCTTCATAGTGAGAGCGTCATGTCCGGCGGGGAATATCCTGGAATTCCTCAGCGCGTGCCCTAAACGGGATTCCGAGAAACTGAGTCTCGTAAGTGATACGCTTTTTTGGAGATTCCAAAAGTATTCACAATGGGCGTAAAGGTGGCTCAAGTTGCCAGCGCCCTGCACTATCTACACTCGCTTGACGTTGTGCATGGAAACGTTTGCCCGGTATGTCACAATCGTAATCTGCAAGCGATTTTTACTGAAATATGCAGACCAACATCTTAATTACGGACAACAACCAAGCCGTCTTAACAGACACTGGTATATATAGTGCCATTGTCGACTATATCTTCGCGCCATCCGGGCGAGTACCGATCCCGCCGTCGGCACCCTACAAACCCCCCGAGGAGCTCAAAGAATCTGCTGAAGAAGTGGTGGCGCGAACTACGGACAAGGATGTTTACAGCCTTGCGAGTTCAACGTATGAGATCATGTCTGGCCTGAAGCCGTTTGCCAACATGCGGCCCTATACCTGTGTCGTCGAGATCACCCGTCGTGGCCACCTTTCTCTGGCTCAGCCCAAGGAGATCAACGTCGGATTGTGGCAACTACTCCGCGCATGTTGGGCGATCGACCCGGGAGATCGACCCACCATGCAAGACGCTGTAGGGCAACTCGAAACGCTTCTCGCTGAAGAGGTTTAACCACTGTCCCCCACGATGACACCCAGTCCGCACACAAATCCTTTTGGAGGGAAGATCCATTATGTTCTACGCACCAAGCCCGCTTGCGCCGGATGCAGGATACGGCTTGTATCGGGAGAGAGAGCTCACAAGCACGACATCAATGACACGAAATCAGGGTGCTGTGAAACACGTGGTTGGCAGAACTGAATATCAGGCAAACGAGAAAAGAGGGGGGGAAAGAGCAAACAGTGTTTGATGCAACAATTTACTTCCCACGGCGATCCTTGTTTCGGGAATTACTCAACAACATTAGTTTTCATTTCCGTCTTTATCCCCGGTTCCTGGCGGGAACGTTAGACCATATAGTATGTAGATCGTTATGTCTCGATGCTGCAAAAACACGAGTCTGTTGAGGAAATATTATCTGGTCTCATCGTAATAATTGGCCTTGATCATGAATTGGATGCCAGAGACGTAGTGAAAGCTTGGTGCATAGCAAACGTTCTAATTATAAGTTTACATTGTCACGCCTACAAAATGGCAGAATGCGCTCCAAGCGGGCACATGGAAATGTAAACATTCAAGTTACATGAGTATCTCGGTGCAGGTACTTGAAGACGCTGTAGACATGGACGCGGCGTTTTGTTCAATGGTAGCACCGCCCAATTTTACGGATAACGCTGTACAATGTCTTTTGTTGACCCAGAGTCTTGTTAGGCCGGCCACTGCGACTTGTTCAGTGCAAGCCTTGAGGTTCCAAGTAAACAGGCAGTATCGCATCTTTCTGGCGGGAGGCCTAGAAACCTTTGTTCAAGAGACCAAGGCGTCATCCGAGGAGCCGTATGATTTTGAAGAATGATACTGGGGAGGGCCAGAGTGTCGGAGAACTATGACTTGAATGAGTCACGCCGGTGTGCACAATTCAATCTGGATTTATGGGGCGCAGATCATGTTTAGCGGTCACTAGTCCTAGTCAAGGGCCAGTGCGAGAGAAGGTGGCGGTTTGTCACAAGCGAAGTCGTCACGGGGTGAAATAGCCCCGAAAACGTTGCGAGACGCGGAGGTAAAAAGACCGGAGAGTTGCTTGGTCATGATACCTGGATCGGCCGACAAGCCCAGTATTAAAAGGCCAGACCTCAACGCGTCTATGTGAATTCAGCCCTTTTTCGTTTCCCCCCCTTATGACCTGGTTTGGACAAGTTAGCGCCTTAATTCACCCCTAGTAGTCGTTGACCTGACAACCGCTTCCTGTAGGATGAACCCACCCCCACTCTCAGAAGTGATGAAGGGTATCGCCTACGACGCATCTCTGACTAGACATCGTTTGAGAGGCACAAGCAAGGTTGCCTCAAACGCTTCTGACGGGTTACTCATTGTCACCCGCATTTTGCAACACGTAAGTTGCTTGCATCTTGCAGCAAGCACACGGTGCTGATCGCTCTATGATAGTCCGGATTGACTTACAAGAAATTCGTTGTGCGCCAACCGAATGGGTCTAGCGTGAAACTTCGTGAGGTAGGCTAAACGATCACATAAGTGCGATACGAGCAAGATTCGACTCAAAGTACCTCTCCAGATGTTTGATTATTTGGCAAACCGACCCGCGCTACAGCACCGCCATATTGCTCAAGACGAGATCATCAATGGAACTGATGGCTTGCCCGCCCGAAGAGACTTTGACGACGCTATAGGATTCGTCGTCAGGCCATTGTTTAACGAAGGGAATATCCTGGAATACCTCGCAAAACGCCTTCAACTATCTACTGTGAAGCTGAGACTCGTAAGCTGCCGATTAATTCTGGTGAAACAAGTATTCATACCGGTCATCAGGTTGCTGAGGTTTCCAGTGCTCTCGGCTACCTTCATTCGCAGGGTATCGTCCACGGAAATGTCTGCCCAGTAAGTCCCAAACCTAGAACGTAAAAAACAATTACAAAAAATGCTTCTCACTTTCAGACGAATATTTTGATTGGAGACGATGGTCATGCTATGCTGACAGACGTTGGGATTCATGCTGCATTTGTTGACTTCATCTGTGTACCATGTGGTCGTATACCAGCTGCACCCACGACGCGATACAAGTCGCCTAGGGAGGTGTGCTGCTCCGATGATGTGCCACCACGAAATGCAGCCAACGACGTGTACAGCTTTGCGAGTTCAACGTATGAGGTGAGAGAAACAGCATTTAAGTCACAAACAGTTCAATGACCTGTTCGAAAAGGTCATGTCTGGCCAGACGCCATTCGACGGCATGCGGCTCTATAACATCGTTGTCGCGGTCGCTCGCAATGGCCACTTGCGCTTGCCTCAACCTAGAGGCATCACGGATGGCCTGTGGCAATTGCTTCAGGCTTGCTGGTCGATCGACCCAATGCATCGACCCAATATCGAAGACGTCGAAAGGCGTCTGGGTGCGTTGCTCACTGAAGACGTTTGAGTATCAGAACCAAGAATAAGAAGAGCTCAAGAAACACCCAGTCAAGTCCAAGTATTCTACGCGCTCCACGGATCTGCATTCGCGAAGGAAGAAATGGTTCTGCATTCTATTATGATCATTGAGGAGGGGAAGAGCTTCAGGATTCTCAAGGAAACCACAAAACCGAAAAAAACATACATTGTGACCAGATACATGATTTTAGTTCATAACTCTGAGATGCGGAACTTGTACTATCCTCGACTTTTGATCGAATACATGACTTGGATTCGTAACTCTGAGATGCGGAACTTGAACAGCGAAACGAACAAGAAACGAAGAAATTGATGCAGCAGCGGAGCGAAGGAGATCCTTATTTCTGGAGCCAGAGAGAACGAAAAAAATCTTCCTTTGATTCGTTGAGAAAGATCATGGAGGGCGATCGGAAGAAAAACAAGCCTTGAGTAACACCTTTTGTGCTATCCCGTTTAATTCAACTTCATCCATCCACCCCTGAACCTTGCTTGACGAGCGGCCGTTTCAAGGAACGCTGTAAGAACCGGCGTCTGTGAAAAATGAGGATGACAGCAACTAGACGGGGATTTGACATGGGCGGCGTTTCTGCGCCTACTTGCGGTACTGCATGTCTGAGTCTTGTTTCCAATAAGTTGAGTGAACACACGTTGTCTCTTGCAAAGTCTCATGACGATAACGATCCTGAAAGTTAGTCAGGAGAGTAGGCCACAGTAAATCCACTGGATCGCTGAAAATGAGATCTAAACTAACGAGTGACTGGTAGGATAGGGCCTAGTGGACGCTGGAGATAACAAACCTGTCAAAGAGATACCTCAGTACAGACAGGTGACTTTTCTCCCTGCGATCAAGGAATTCTGGAATTCACAAAGGGGGACGTTTTAGGAAGAGTGAATGGAGTAGGCAGGTTGTTGAGCTTACTTATTCTAGGCCTTGTCACAGCACCCTATGATCTGAATTATTGCTTTTCGGTCCGAGTCAGACGTTGCTCCTCTGGTGGATATTTCGAGATCTTGGCATCAGTCTATAACGAATGATAAAGAAGTTGTGTAGGCTCACCGTAACATACCAAGTATGACCTGAAGCATTGTTTCTCGGTCCAATCATGTGTTCCCTTCCCCGCGTGGGGCCGCCTTCGCATTTCGAAGTAGCTTGGGAATGAAAACGGCAGGCCGCAAAACCTTGTATACGAGAAGGAAACCTGCTGACGCGTGGCATGACCGCGGCAGCACTCAGAATAAGGACCCAACAAAATGTGTGTTCCTTGACGGAGCGCCCTCCCCCTACCGCCTTTTGATTTTCTCACCACAGGAAATTTCCTGACGCATCCCGCGTGTGCAGTTTGAGGGACTTCGCTTGGAAACGGTATACTGTATCTTGTAGGTACTCAGTAACTCTGCTCAGGGTATTTTAAGCGGGAGGACTAACTCAGCTATGCGTTCTTTTCTGAAGGAGCGCCCTCGCTCCGCGACTACCATTTTTGAGTTGCGTGTTGGGAAATTTTTGTTGCATCCCGCCTGCGCAGTTGCAATTAGTGGGGTCGGTCTTTATCTCGATACTTGTACGGTTACGCTGCTTAGGGTCCGGCGAGACTGGAATTAAAGGACCCAGACGTCGTGACGGAGCATCTTCGTCCTGCCGCTTTCGAGTTCGATCGATTGGTGAATCTAATTGCATCCTGGGGCGCATCAAGTGTCACAAATTAAACTTGACGTCCTCAGATCGGCGTCAAACAGAAACTTTTCAAAGATAGGATCCCCCGGATTCGTTCAAGTTCAACTGTTGTTTCCTCAGCCTTTCCACCCCCGGGATATTTGTAGGATGTCTGATGGTAAGTTATATCAGTCGAAACATAACTTCATGCGATGGTCGTCGTCGGCACTGACCTCCTCGGGGTGAAGCGGCGTGCATGTCAAATTTCAAGCTCAAGCCCAATCGTCACCTGTGAAAGCATATGCGTGAGTAGATGAGGCGGACTACCGAAAGAGCTCTTCTTGCCAGTGAAATTGGATGACCCTGTCGTTCCGCTATCCCTGCGTTCTGCTCCAATGTCAAGCTTTCGATGCTCATATATAACCACGGAGGAAACTTGGTAGCAATCAGAACAGCCAGAGAGGTATTGGAGGGAATGTTGAACGTCACATTACGTCACCCTCCGAAATCAGCCGGGTCTCAAGCCCAGAATGTCGGACCGCCCGCTGACCTGGCCACGAGCCTCAGTGCTACAAGCCTGGACGCTCCCTCGGAAAACGCCGCTGATGCCCTCACGTGCGGCCATAGCTGAACGTGACGTAGTGAAGGGTCCGTCGCGTTAATGTATCATGTCGCGTCTCGTTTCCGAGCCTCTTGTAATTATCACACTGCTCGCAAACATTCAGTTCCACATATATGAAGAGTCATTGAATGCATTAGACACATATAACACATCATGCATCATGCTTAAGTTGGGTGCTGGACTTGTTACTTGCTAGTTTTGTGGTTATTGGTTGTTGATTGGTTGATGCTTAGCTTGACTTTGTAAGTTCTTCTTTATACCTTTCACTATCCATTTGTATTAGAACAATGTAAAGTTATTCCTCGTGAAATCCGTTACCGTCGCCACAAAATGCGTATCATAAAGCGTATACAGCGCTAAGTTCTAACACTCTATTTGGTAACTGTTTGGTGGTGTTGATTCCGTCACTCCGTGTCATTTATAGAAAAAATTGAGGTATCTTTCACAACAGTCGTTTGAAATTTGAAAGTATCCCTGTTTTCGAAATTCATGGCTTTTTTTTTTGAGATGTAGGTTGTCCCGACAAAAAATCTACGTAAGTTGCTGTGTAGACTTGTGTAGAGCGGAGTCTCTGATGAGCTGACGGGCTTTGCCGAATGATGCGGTGATCGTTCCCAGGCTACCAGCCTCAAGGCTAGTAGCCGACTCTTCGGGGGGTCAGACGGTCCCCTCAAGCCAAGTGTTGTGATTTCGGAGTTCGAATCACACCCAGATCACGGTCGCCCGCGCCAACACTTGTCCCGCAAATCACACCAAATCACACTTTTTGCAGCACGTCCCACGCCAAATCACAGTTTTTCCAGGACAAGTCACAAAACGGACCCGCCAAATCACAGTTTGGATCACACTTTTTGGCGGGTGGGAGAGTCGACTTGTCCTGGAATCACACCTCCCACCCAACACTTGTCCTGGACCCTGACTGTTTTCTCGTGTGCTCATACCCTTTCCGTTGCGGCCGCTCATACTTAGCTCTCCTCTCCCTTACCTTGTAAAATAGATTACCAGGTAGAAGCCTCGTTATTTAAATAAATGAACTTCAGTTCCACTCAGCTCACAAGTTATTTCCAGCATCAAGGTTTGGTAAGCCCACCTCCCGGAAGACCTACAAAATTTACTCTGTGAGTTCTGGCTCAAATTTTATGATCTTGGGCTTTACTTGATGCTGACTACTACAGGGAGCGCCTCCCGAGTTTACGAAATGGAACGCCCATCCGTTCAATTTTGGCATTCGGTTTTGTGGTGAAACCATGCCCATAAGCAGAAATTGAGATAGCAAAGTAAGTTCTTGATCAATTTTTACGTTCTTAGGCTCTACTTGACCGGAACTGCTCCAGGAATCACCTCCCGAGTTTTCGAAACATAGCGCCTAGCCGTTCAAAGTCGGCGTTCGGTTTTGCGGAGAAATAAGGTCTATTACCAGAAATTGAGACTTACAGGTAAGTTCTCACTCGATTTTTACGTTCTTGGGCTCTACTTGACCTAAATTGCATCAGGAACAACCTCCCGAGTTTTCGAAACATAGCGCCTAGCCGTTCAAAGTCGGCGTTCGGTTTTGCGGAGAAATAAGGTCTATTACCAGAAATTGAGACTTACAGGTAAGTTCTCACTCGATTTTTACGTTCTTGGGCTCTACTTGACCTAAATTGCATCAGGAACAACCTCCCGAGTTTTCGAAACATAGCGCCTAGCCGTTCAAAGTCGGCGTTCGGTTTTGCAAAGCAATGAGGTCTATTACCAGAAATTGAGGCTTACAGGTAAGTTCTTTCTCGATTTTTACGTTCTTGGGCTCTACTTGACCGGAATTGCTTCAGGAACAACCTCCCGAGTTTTCGAAACATAGCGCCTAGCCGTTCAAAATCGGCGTTCGGTTCTGCAAAGCAATGAGGTCTATTACCAGAAATTGAGGCTTCATCAGGAGAAAATCTCTTGAGTCAGTAGGTCAATGTAGCTCTAGTATTTATAATACCCTGGTAGTCTAGTCCCCCCCATGAGTCGCTCCGGTAGTTTACTGTGACATCTCAGTAGCCCGGGTAGTTCTTCCCTTGCACCTGATAGCCCTCGGTACACCCTCCTTCCACTTAGGTAGGCACTGGTACACCTTGCTACCAGAGCTACTTGTGTGTACTGAATCTACTAATTTCTTTGTAGATGGCCACTAATTTTCTTGCTTCCAAATTAAATTAGGGGTATAAATGGCATTTCGACTATCTAATACAAGGGGGTCTACAATAACACCACACTAATAAAGAGGCTTTAAAGCCAATATCCAAGAAAGTATGAAAGGTGAAAATAATGGATAACATTACACATGAATGAAGGGACACCAGGGTATCCTCATTCAGGTTCGGGAGGGAGCGCTCAAGCGTCGTTGATGTTGTTGTCCGTCATCATCGTCTTTGCGTCGTCCATCGTCATGGTCATTTTCGTCGTGTTGTGCACTGTGGTTGTGGTCGTCCGTTATTGCCGCCACCTGTATCGTCGTCG